CCTGGGGTCATTTTAAGCCTCTCACAAGTCCAAAATTTTCTTGGCGATGAGGGGGACTCTGCCCCCTTCAAACCCCCAAACAGAAGGGGGCACATCCCCCTTCTGGCAACCCCCTGATGTAATATTTGGATGGGGGGCGGCGCCAAAAAAAAGGTCACTTTTTTTTAACAACATTTCTCAAACGAAAGACAGTGTTTGGGGCCTAAATAGGGCATTTTTTCACTGTTTGAGGCCTCAAAAAAGGGGGGGGGGGGCAAAAAGCCGTCGAAACACGCTTATATAAGGGAAAAGGTTAAACCATTCATTACAGTTAACGATGATTCAAACATTAAATTGAAAAACTTTTGCTTAGTCGGCCATGTAAGATACTTTTTTCTCAAATCGGAGAACTTCGGGCAAATAATTAAAAAATGATATTCATTCTCTATTTGATTAAATTGACAATTTTCACAAAAACGTTCATTTCTTGGAATATTACGATATCTTCCATATTCTATAGCTAAATTGTGTGACAATGTTCTAAATCTAGATAAGGCTATTCTATACTTTGGTTCTTTAATTACACTTAAGAAAATTTCTAAATCAAAAGTATGTTTAAATAAACTGTATGTATCAAGACAAGGTGAATTATTTATCAAGGTATACCATTGTTCGTAATACAAACTAAGAATTCTGAATTTAATTGTTTTAAAATCTACCTGTATGCTATATTGGTTTTCCCATACAAATATTAATCCAGATTCATCTAATATTTGTTTAATAGTGTAAGCCCAGTTTTTACCATTATAAGATTGTCCATTGTCAGCATCAATTCTTAACATAGAATATGTTTTAAAAAGGATAGTACTTTCTTGAAGCGATAATAACTTAATCCAATATTTAATCATAATTATTTTCCATTGAATATACATAGGTGTTCGACCAAGTTCGCCATATAACGCTTCTCGGTTTGTGGATAATTTAGTTCCTAAAATTTTTCTACAAAATTTACAATGAATAACTTCGACAGTGGGTGCGATGTGTGATCCCCATACCTCCGCCGCGTAATTTAAAGTTGATGATACGAGAGAATCAAACAATTTTATTTGCTGTGAAACGGGTAAATCTACTTGATTAAAGATAATAAATAAATTATGAAGAGCGAAAGACGCATGTTGTGCTATACGTTCCTGCGTTCTATTCCATTGTCCGATTTTGAATAGATGTACACCTAGATATTTAAAGGATTTGACAATGCCTAAACTGTGATCTAAATGTCTAAACTGAAATTCAAATGCTTAAAACATTAAATTTAAAAGCATAATAGAGCACTTAAAATGGAAAAAATATGCAACAGATAAAAAAGAAATTTATCAGAATTGATTGGATTAAGAAGACCATTTGTGTTAAAAGTGTTTATACACTTCATTTTTGTGTCATTTTGCACACTGAAATTGACTTTTCTGGAGTAAAAAGAGAGAGCAAATGATCTGAAATTTTGCCACACAAGTTATTAGTTCAGACCTACATCAAATGGTACAAAAAAATCTTGATAAAAGTTTCCAGTCCTGTCTTATTCAGTATACCTCAATGGCTCTTAAAGACTTGTACAGCTTCAAGGATATCACATTTTTAGTAACTCAGGGAAGATTTTTGTCATGGTGCATGTATTTTTTGTTTTGCAGGCAGAATTTTGCAAAGCCCTAGAAGCTGAGGAGGGTGGTAAAAAAATTCATAGTTGATAAATGGCAAAGAAAAGAGGTAGTTAAATTTTGATACAATATTTCCATTTTATTTATTAAAAAAGCAAAGTGTATAATTCTGTTTTGTTTTATCAGCATGTGTCAGCATGTGTCAGCAATACATTATTTTACAGAACCATTTTTGTTTTCATTTGTCAAGAACTTAAGTTATCTCCCTTTTGCAGAAGTTCTATTTTTGAGTCCATTGCACAACTATCGGTATAAGCAAAGCTAAATTTTTTGTTCAGTATATATACTTACAAACGGCAAGAGTACTCATGTCAAGGCTTTTTTTCACAGGTTGGGGGAAACAGCCCTGCCCTTAATTTTGGGGTAAAATTACACGGTATATAATTACAAAAGGGGAATGAAAAACTGGATGTAAATTCAATTTTTGAGAAAAACTGCATGATTTTAAAGAATTTTTCTATCCGGAAGCAGCCCTATGACAGCCCCTGCTAAAGAAGGTAAAAAAGCCCTGCTTGTGGTAGCATGGCTGAGTGGTTAACATAATGGACTAGTGGTCTAAGCATTTATTCTGGCCACATTGGTTCATTATGGGAAAGCTGTTGTTTCCTTCAGCAAGAATCTGTATACTCATTGTGTAGTACTTGTTCATTCTAGAAACAGATTCACGTTTATAGCCTCCTACACCATCAAACCAAATTAAATTCTGTATTAACTTAAAGTACTCACTTTTCTATTTATAATCTATTACCAGTTGGTGTTGTGTATTGGGCTTGTCCTAATTTTACCTTTGAACTGTCTTTTGTTGAGAAAACAAAGTACTACTATCCAGCAGTTGAATGTAAAGAGTATGGTAAAACTGTACAAATTTGCTGACTGGCCTGGCTGTTCAGTAATTGCATAGGCAAGCCATTAGGTGTTAGAAAAGTTCAGTTGACCTTGAACTTTGACCTTTCATTACAGGGAGGTGGAGGTATCACCTGTGTGATGCAGGATGGTGAAGTGTTTGAGAAGGCAGGGGTTAACATTTCTGTTGTCATGGGCAACCTTCCGCCAGCGGCTGTACAACAAATGAAGTCAAGGTCAGTTCATTTTGCATTTATGTAAAATAGCATAGATATTCTACGTTCAACAGTTACATCTTTGTAGAATCAACCATAAAATTATCAAAACAACATAATTTTTACTGGTAATAAATTTTGTTAATAAAACTTTATATGCACTTCAAAACAATGAAAACGCCTAATAAATAGTCTTGTTTTTATTTACTTTAAATGATATGAATTTTATATTTCAGAGGGAAAAGCCTAGAAGGAAAGACTCTGCCATTCTTTGCTACTGGAGTGAGCTCAGTAATACATCCTGTAAGTGAACAATATTGCCTGCTCTGCTGGCTTTACTCAATAGAGAGGGTATTGGATTTGTAATCCAGGGTCACTGGTTTGATCCATGGGGTGACATGAAATTTCTCCATGATAGTCTGTCTCAGATACTTACATTTGTAGTCCAATGATCATTTTCTCTCACAGCTGATTTATAAGTCATGTGGGGTGAGTTGGTGGTCACTTAGGGAGAAGTTAGTAATTTCTGGTTACAAAAGTAGTTGTCGAAAATAAATAATAAGCCTTTGCCACCAGTTTAGATGGATTTTTAATATAATTCATATTTCTTTATCATTCTTTGCAGAGTTTTACATTTTAAGTCCTTAAACTTGATCTATGTAAGAATTTCAATTTTTATGTTTTTAGGCTTTTTATTCTCAGTGGAGTGCCTTTAAAACAAAATTCAAAGGTGCAAATTTCAGACTAGCACCAGCTTAAAGCAATACAAATTTAGATTTTTGAAGCAGCCAATATTTGTTTCCCTTATTGCATGCATCAATTAGTACTGGTAATTGTCCAATGAAAAACGAGTTAATGCTGACAGCAATCTTTGTATAATCCAATGATGATGTGTTATGTCATATATCCAGTAACGCTGATCAGGTTATATATCCAATCATTGGACAGATATAATCACATAATTGACATTTCTTTAACATACAGGGAGAAAATAACAAAAATAACAGAAATTTGATTTTATTGCAACAAAATTGCTATTTCTATGTATTTTGAGAGACATGAATATGCAAGATGTAAAGGTACAGGTAAATTTTCATATTTTGTATTATAGCAGAATTGTATTTGTCGTTTTTTAGAAAAATCCCAATGTTCCAACCATACATTTCAACTACCGTTATTTTGAAGTAACAGATGAAACTGGAATGAAACACTGGTGGTTTGGTGGAGGCACTGATCTTACACCATACTTTCTTGATGAAGAGGTAATTAACTCAACTTTTTATATGATCATTGGACTTGCTGGTGGCATGGCTGAGTGGTCAACATGTCATACTGATAATCTAAGGATAGCTGGCCATGTGGGTTCAAACCCCACCAGGAGCAAGCCGTTTTTACACTCATTGTTCGGTCATGTTTGGTTCCAGGAACAGATTAGAGAATGTGTCTGTAAGTTCAATCAGACTTAAAATCAAAAACAAACAGTAAAGAGTCTGGTTAGATGTAAATTCGCCAGTTTGTTATCTGGTGGTAAAGGTGCATTTCACAAAGGATGTATTACCTCCCCTGGCTGCCATTTTAAGGGTCATTTCCAATATAACTCATGCAAGTTCATGGGCGGTGAAAAACAGCCTGTGGAGACAAGTGAATTTTTTTCAAAATCAACTTTATCATATCATATGAACAAGTAAACAATGATTAAAATAAAACAGACAAGTAAGTCAAAATTATTTTTTGCCGACCCTGTAGCTTGAGATAAGATTAAAATCTCTCACAATTTTATATAATAAAAACCTTTTTGATGCTATAAGTAATAGTTTCCTTCAAATATATAAAATGAATTTGCCGATCACCTTAATTAGCTGTTTGTATTGCTTCAATTATATAAAATATTGAACCTAAAAATGCAACGGAGTTAAATATTGTAATAATTAGGAAGTATCTAATATATACAAATCATTATTGCGACTGTAAAGAGAGTCACCTGTCTAAACAAGTGGCTATGTACTTTTTAAAAAATGTCTTTTTCCTGAACTTCAATCTACATTTATATTTTATAAATAGACTTGTCAAATTTTTTACTTTACTTCAGGATATTACACATTTCCATAAGACCTTGAAGACTGCCTGCGATAAACATGACAAAAGCTATTATCCGAGGTTCAAGAAATGGTGCGATGATTATTTCTACATCAAACATAGAGGTTAGTAAATATGCTTCAAAATTTATTTTGTGTAATTCATAATGTAATTCATTTATTTAGAAACTTATGTGATTTGGAGTTCTGTTCGAGATGTTGAATGCATGATATGAGCCGCGTCACGACAAAACCAACATAGTGGGTTTGCGACCAGCATGGATCCAGACCAGCCTGCGCATCCGCACAGTCTGATCAGGATCCATGCTGTTCGCTATCAGTTACTCTACTTGTTATAGGGTTTGTAAGCGAACAGCATGGATCCTGATCAAACTGCGCAGATGCTCAGGCTGGTCTGGATCCATGCTGGTCGCAAACCCATTATGTTGGTTTTGTCATGGAGCGGCTCATATGAAGGAGCTGTTCAGCTAGTTTGTGGAAGTTGATGATTCAACACAGAGACTTTTCTTCCAACAACCTCTTTAATTGGAAGAAGCCTGATATTGGGGAGTGCACTGGATCCCTAATATTGAGATCTAATGTTCAAATTATATTTGAGGTTAAATCCCCCTTTGGCTTCCTCAACCGCACAGGTGTTTTTATTGGATAAGATGACATGAAAGAATTATCTAGCACAATTTTTTAAAGGGCTAGGACTAAATCCCTAAAAATGGTGTTACATTATATTTTATGAAATAACGAATATATCTGTAGAAAATATGATTATTTTTCGCCCAAAATAGTACAAAAAGTCTTTATTGTATAACATAAGATTCTTTGAGATACAAATTTACATTTTTCCCCCTTTTAAAGTTACCTAACTATAATTATGCCTTATCATTTGTTTGTTTTAATATTTATCCTAAGAGTGTGAAGCAAAATGTTGATAAATGAAAGCATTTTGAATTAAGGTGCTTCTGTTGATCTACTGATTATAAAATTAATAGAGCCGTGTCACGACAAAACCAACATAATGGGTTTGCGACCAGCATGGATCCAGACCAGCCTGCGCATCCGAGCAGTCTGATCAGGATCCATGCTGTTTGCTATCAGTTTCTCTACTTGTTATAGGGTTTGTAAACGAACAGCATGGATCCTGATCAGACTGCGCGGATGCGCAGGCTGGTCTGGATCCATGCTGGTCGCAAACCCATTATGTTGGTTTTGTCGTGACACGGCTCAAATAGAAAAAAAACGAACAAACAACTAGCAATACTGGCTAGCTGCAGCATCTGTAAAGTTTCATAATTCCACTCAAGCATTTTTCAGCCATGAAAAGTTTATGCATAGAATCAAAAACTTCATTAGATTCATTCCTTCCCAGGAAGAACTTTTAATGAAATAAGAATGTATTATAAATATACACGAGATATTAACATTTTGATACTGGTATTATTGAACTTTTCTTAAGTACAATTTCATCTATGATTATTTTTTTCATATTTATGTAAATTTTGAGGTGCAGATGTTTGAGTATTGTTTACATTTTCAGTTTCACTGTGTTGGGCGAGTTTCAAGGCATTTATTTTGACTACGGAAATTTTATATTTTAATCTGTCTTAACCTTGCGTATTATAGTATGACATGTTACAGGTCAGTCTCGTGGTGTTGGTGGTATTTTCTTTGATGATTTGGACGACGGCTCTGCTGAAAAAACTTTTAAATTTGTTTCTGTAAGTTTGATTTATGTCTTGTTAAATATTTCCATCTTATTGAAGATATCAGTTAAGAAACTTCTTTTTTGTCAAACATCTTCCCTGACAAAACTTATGTAATTATTTATCATGAAATAAAAATGTATTAACCAAAGAAACATTTTGCAGATACATGTACTATAGTACTATACATGTATTGCATCTACGTCAATATCACATAAATTCGATGTGCTAATTTGCATACGTAGCTTTACCTATAAACATTGCGGATTGACCTAATTGTTATTGACTTTTATCATTGACTACACTTTGATAGATATGTGTACTTTAAGAAAAGGTACAGCAGCAAATGCTTGTAGAATTAATCAGTGAAACTTAGTCCTTTTCATTCTTAGAAACATAAGGAAATATTAAATATTGTAGCACCATCCTATATACATATAAGATACAAAAAATGTATATGAAGCTTACACATTTTATGGACTAAAATATTCAAGTTGAGGTAAAATGGAATTATTCCAACCTCAAACCAACATTATAATTAGAAATACCATAAAAAAAATAGGTACATTATAGATATTTTAATTTTGGTAGTTAAGATAATGGTACTGCAGATGGGATGGATATACCCGTCTTGCAAGCAGCAGCAGAAAATGAAAAAAATATTAACCCTGTTTGCTGCAAATAATTCTGCTAGTACAACTAATTCAGATCAAGATTAGCCAGTATTTGAGCCGTCTGATCATGGTCTGTTAGTACTTATTTTGAAATTTTCCTCAAATATGATGAGTGCTGTTTTTTTTCCAAATCAAAAGATAGACAGGTCCATATATGATATTTACCATGGTAAGGACTAATTCATACATCGTATATGTTAGTAGTGATATAAAGTGCTCCCAATCAAGTTTAAAGCAGCATGCCTCAAGATTCATGCTAATTTTCATGAAAATTTAAAAATGAATTTAAAAGAAAATTATGAACATATAAAGTAATTCACACGCTGCAAATGGCCCTTGCAATCCACGTTAATTACCAAAAATAGAGGCATAGATCTACATCTCTGCCAAAAAGAGGTCAAAATATGCTAAAAAATATCCTTAACTGCATTAGAAACTCAGTAGAATTATGGTGAGTGATGCTGCAAAATCAATCATTAATCGTACATAACATGTAAATCACGGCTCGTGAAAATATGTGGCATTTTATCATGTTTCGTGAAAATATGTTCCATATTTCACTCAAACGAAAAAATATCCTCTTAATATTTGATTAATATTTGTTTATTTGTAAAAGTATTATATTTACAGACCTGTGCATCATCAGTCATGCCTTCATACATTCCATTGGTGAAGAAAAATAAAAATAAAGGTTACTCCTACAAGAATAGGTAAGGCTTGCTGACCAAATGAATCCACAATATTCACCTTTAATATTTATATTTCATTATTTAAGAAAATACAAATATGGTGGATCAAATAGATGCTGACATTAGGCTCAGTGATCCTTAAACTTAGCTGTCAATCTTGATTATGGATGGTACATGCTAGATCTACTACCAAGATTTCTGATATAATGCATAGAGGGACAGAGACCATAGAGAACCATTTTGAAGTGAAAACGTGCCAAATATTGAAAAGTTAATTAATAATGCTCAGTATAGAAGAAAACTGGTAAACTTTTATTTTTTACTGCAGGAGATGGCAGCTTCTTCGCAGAGGTTATTACGCAGAGTTCAACTTGGTGTATGACAGGGGAACGAAGTTCGGACTTCAGACGCCTGGTGCGAGAATAGAAAGTATTATGATGTCTCTACCACTGAATGCTGTAAGTTAAAGTCTGGACATTATATAAGAAGTTTATAATCCAGAAATACCCATGTTGCTGTGACAATGTGGTGGAAGACTTTAAAATGTTCAGTACTATCTTTAGTTCATTGCTGATAATGTAGAAAAGTTGGCATTTTTAATTGTTGCAAAAAACCACAGAGAATTACTGATAACGGATATAAAACATTAATAAGGAAATTGGGGTTGCTTAGTCAAATTTGAATTTTGATACATTGCAACTGTCTTTTCCCATGGTATATGTTGTGGAAATATCTGCACGTATTTGCATGTTTGACTCACAAAGTCTGATACACAATAATGTAAAATATACATGCAGCAGAAAATTTCATAAGGCTTCACCGCTTCACCATTTTCCTCCTGAAACTGTTCTTAAGGTTATGCTTGATGACTTATCCAAGCTCAGTTCTCTTAAACAGCATAATGTGTTCTGTAAAAGAAAGAGTAATGTGTCTTTAAAAAAAAAAAGAAATAAGAAAAAAAAATATGACTATAAAAATTACTATGACCTGTAAGGAAACATTGTGTTGAATTTCTCTATACACAGTTTATATCTATATTGTATTTCAGAGTTGGGAATACTGTCATAAGATAGAACCAGGATCCCCTGAACAGAAGTTAACAGACGTTCTAAAGAACCCAAAGGACTGGGTTTGAACCAAAAGTGTTCATTACACAACAGCATTTACCTTGCATTTAAAACTGCCATGATTATATACAAATTTTCCTTTTATTTTCTTCTTTTTTTATTATATATTATGGAAGTCTCAGTCATTTATAATAGATTTATAAAAAAAATAATGATATAATAATTACATGCTAATAAGAAAATATTAAACAATTTAAACAGCCAAAAGGAGGTAGGAATAATTTACTGTAGCTGTTGAAAGTGTTTTTCTTATCAGCATCTGATTTACTTAGTCGTTGACCTAATTATCAAGATGGGCAAGAGGTATGTTATCAAAAAAGGTGTGACTTTAAATGATAAACAGGTCATAGAAACAGTTTCCTGGAAAAAGTCAGAAATTTTCAAATTTAGAACATCTAATTGGCTAAAGAAGTAGGACTGTAGGACAGAGAGGTGATTTAGTCAGTTATGTTAGATTATATCTTAAGACACACTGTATTTTTTGAGAGAATTTTTGATTTGTTGATATAAACAAGATACCAAGAGATTCAGTCTTATTTGAATATTTTTTACATAGGACAAATAAATCAAAAACTAACAAAAATTTTAAATATCAAATACATGCTTTGGTTTATCAGCCTCATTTGTTGATACATGATTATATTTTTACATGAATATTTGAAGCAAACTGTTTGTTATTTGGCTAAATTTGCATATGACTCGAATTTTCTCTTTTCTGATTCATATTCACCTGTTAGTTGTATTCTGGTCTTAAATCTATTTTTGCTTAAATTTTTCTGAAATCCTCTTTAAACTTTTCCCCTTTAATTGGTGCAGGCATTTATTGTCCCTATTTATCCATATCAGTTTTTTAAATATGATAAAAAGATGTAAATTAATTTTTTCTTCTTTAATTACAGTTAGGTTTTTCATGTTATGTTTTGTATTAGGCATACAGTATAAATTTTTAGGGGTCATAGTACAATGTCCTCCGTACTTTTGACAAGGTATTTATTGGCAGCATGTCATTCTCATTACTACTATTGCCCCTTTTACCTAATTTAAGCATGACATCAAAAGTTTCCAAGTGAATGGAATGACAGTTAAAAGATTTAGTGCCATACTGTTATACTTGAACTGTAAGGTTTTTTGAGTCATGACAATATTTCATTGAACTCTTTATATATGACATCTTAATGTGTTTTTTTTGTTTACTCAGGTTCCCACTTGTGCATGAAATACAAATGCAATGCATGGAGGGGCACTTGAGGTCTTCCTCCACCAGTAATGCTGGAAAGTGGCCATATGACCTTTATAGTTTATGTGTGACTTAAAAACTCAGGATAAGAATGTTAAAAAATAAATATGTGGTCTTTTTTCTTCATTAAATGATTTATTATGATGTAATATCGATATATAAGGCTGTTATATTGCAAAGATATACTGCATATATATAGTATTTACATACTTTATTTACTTAATTTATTATTTGTTTTGTCTGTAGTAATAGTTTCATTAGTTTTTGGTGTCTAAAGGTGCTAATTGTACTACTCGATGAGATATTGTGCTATTTAGTGTATGGGCATTATCTCCTCTCTTTTAAAAGCGAGATTTTGACCTTGTACAAAAATATCTCAGAATTTGCTTTGGCATGTTAATATATTTTGACTAGCGCACCTTCAAGCCTTCTGTACTTATCTGGAAGTTGTGTACTTTTCCATTCAAGAGCAAATATCAAAGTGGTTCATGTAAGCTCCAAACTTTCATCATACTTCACTCAAGTTATAATCAGACTCAAACAGATATTTTTAATCTTGGAGATTTTTTTTGATTTTTTTTTTTGTCCTTCTCCTCTATTTATGTAAAAGGTAATTATGGATAAAAGCACCAAATGCCGTATGCTAAATTCATTACATTTTATTTTCTACATGTACATGTGACATTAATATGCAATTTGAATGTATATGATAAATATGTGAATTTGTTATATTGTAATTTTGTTATAAAGTATTATTTAAGTAAAAGGCATTATTCTCCTGACACTGACTAAATATGACCGTGATGACAGGTTATTTATAATTATATAAATATCTATGTGAACTGTTTTTGTTAAAGGCAATTTATCTTCATGCATAATATGAAAGTTGTATGCTACAGTTTCATATAGACATATAGGCAGAATGAAAATAGAATAGAATTTGTCAAAACTTTTTGCACGATATTAAAATATGATAACAGAAACATTTTAAGTGAAAAATGAGGGGTTAACAAACTCGTTTTTCAAGTTATCTGCCCTTAAATTTTGATTTTAATATACAGTTTTCATTCTGCCTGTATGTCCCTATGTAACAGTAGCTTATGCCTTTTATATGTATCATAATTGTATATATTACATAGATTTACTTTGGTAATTTTTAGGAAAGGAATGTGATAAGAATATATGAGATAAATACACTTCACATCCTTTCCATGTTAGACTAAGCACTCAATCACAACATTATACAGTTATTGACTATTGAGCCACTGAATATGATGTTATATTCACCCGTAGATGACATATTGACCGAGGCGATATAAACAGATATTCTGTCCCCGTAGCCTTTCTGAGACGCTGTTCGAATATTGTCGCGGGCATGAAGCGGTGACAGTGTGATGGCGTCACTATGTACCTATCTTCCCTTGGCGTTGTTATGCGCGGTCTCCCTGCTAGGTCGATCATTAACGCTGCCTGTCTGTCGTACACGCTGTCGCAGATGATAAATAGTCTGTTCATTGCAACCAAAAAGTCATGCGATGTCAGAAGCCAAGCACCTCCTTCCAGCAATCCCAACGCGATATTCCTATCATTTACTGGCAAGCCAGGACGGCGCCTCATGTTATCCAACTCTGATTTTACACTGGTTTATTTAACTGACCACAATAAACAATCGATACTACACAATGTATGACAAAATGACCATGTGGCATACCCGAGCACGTGCACCTCATGCTTTTCAAAATATTGGCCGATACGGTACAACGATTTTAGAGATGGTGTTAAAATCGTTACATACATAGCCGCCAAGTATTACCCTGGACGTATATGAAGTTTAACAGTGATATATGTCATATTGTCAATTTGTTTAGAATTTTATTAAAATGTATGAAGAAGACCAAATTTAAGAAACTTCAAATATAACAAACCAGTGATTATAATGTATAGTAGGGTATGATAAGAAATGTATCTTTGAGGGTTGAGAGTTTCCTCATTATCATTGACATATGTGACATACTATATGATTTGAAATTTGTATACAAGTTTCGAAAAAGTAAAGATAAGGCTGAAAACGATGCGATAGAATGATCTGGTGTCAGACTGAAAATTAAACGTGTTGTTTTTTTATAAAATATTTTAACATTATAAGATGAAAAATGAGTAGGGAAAAAGAAATAAGTTGCTTTTATTTTGTAATTTGTTTCAAGAAAACGTCCTATCACGTGACTATAGCAAAATGTATGTGGCCTAATATTTATAGGGAGTGTCGACCGGCCAATAATTTAGTGAGAGCTGCCGACCTTGAGGGCTGTCTTATTGCCCTCGTCGGCGACAGACTCTTCTTCTGAGGAGGAAAGTGCCAGTGATCGGCTTGCTCTTGTTGACATCCGGCTGATGCTAGGTCTGTGTGACGACATTCAGCTTCTATTTCGTTCAGCATCTGCCTGTCGGTATCACACCTTGTTTCGAACTTTTCCCGGAACCGCTGTTCGCCTGCCTCGTCTTTTCGTTGCTTACATTCAGTTCTACAAATTATCAAAGAAAATTGTGTCAATGGAATGTTTATCAATGTCGTTGAATGATGTAGATTATAAAGATATATTTATGTGATATGAATGATGTAATATCTGATGTGATGTAAATGATATAATATCTAGTGTCATCTACGTAAATGATATATGTCTGTTGTGATATTTTTTGTAAATGATATTTATCATATGGAAAATGTATAATGATTAAGCGGATGAAATGTGATATTTTCTTATCTTAACATCAGGTGTTCGCAAACACCATTCTTTTGAAGATAAATTATGAAATTATTTATACATGTATATGTAATCCAATTGTTGTGAGACAACATTACTGAACTACTTTTTTCTCTGATGCTCTCTTGCTAATACTTTCTTTTTAGATAGCTCCTCACTTCTCTTTGCCTCGGCTTTCTCTTGTCGAGTGTCACATCCTAGGCGTATCTGTAAAATGTTGACAGTAAAATAAAACACAAAATAAACTATAAGGCAAAATCAAACTTTCCTTTCAAAATTCGCAATTTTGCCTAAATTGTTTATAGTTATTGTAATAATAACAACATATAAAAGTCCGTAGAAAAATTTCTTAGACTTCTATTCCTTACTTGCCATACAGTGCCGTTCTTTGTCTTGTGAATTTACAGTTATTTTATAAGCAATATTAAGCTTCATCATATATTCGTCAATATCTCATCATATTTCGTTTTTTCCGTTACTTATCTAGCGTCGATGGATTCAATACAATGAAATATGCTTAAATTTCTGCGATTTGTAGCATTGTCTGCCGGATTCCAATGTTGCATTTAAAATGGGATTTATACTTTCAGGCCCGTCAGCTTTCTTAATTGGCGGCAAAATTGGCTTAATTACTATTGGTTTACAATCCATTTCAATGGCAAAGGACTCTCCGCCACGTGATTTCCTATGCTCATATTGAACTAAAATATTAGATAGAAATAGTATTGCCACTGCCTTATCTGAATAAATAGTTTCAAAATAAAACCATTCTTGTCTTCTCAGTACACTGTCGAATATTTTGCGTTTTTTCTCTTTCAGTAAAAGTTAACGATGATAACCTTAGTAGAAGAAAACATTATTTATATAATATTTTTAACTGTCACAAATGTGAGCAAGGTGTGTTTGTGTACTAAGTGTAATTCTTACCTAGCGTTGGTGTGGGAACGCAGCTAGCTATAGCCTTCCTTTTCTTTTCACGGCGTTTCTCCTTCCTTTTAGCAATCCAAGTTGAAATGAAACCAAAACACCTTGGGAGCTTCCTCTTCTTCTTTTTCTTGTCATTTCCTTTGTCAGATTCTTTAGAAGTGGTTTTAATATTTTCCTTTTCTTCTTTTACCACGTGGTCTTTTTTATAAGTGTCTTTCCTTCATAAAAGAGGAATTCCAAGGGATATTGTATTACAAATGTACTGTCGCTTTCATTAAAGTATTCAAACATATACAATAAAAAATCAACAAAACAAATCACGTGTTCCTCGATATTGTTAATCCTTCATATGAAAAGAATCGAATGAAATCCGGAATATTTAAGTATTTATATAATGGACAAAAAGCTATTGGACAAAAAAAAAAAAAAACTAATGCAAGAACATGACCCGTCATCTGGTAAACAAACAAAGAACAAATTAGATACTTTGAATTTGCAGAGTATCTTAATACACTTATGTTGTTTTGATATAGGTTTGATGATTGCACATTTGAACTTTATTTTAAAAAGACATAACCCACTAATGTACCTATAATATTGAAATAAAAGCATTAGTTAGGATATTTCCATACAAAATGTTATCCTTATGTTGTGACATACGTATTCTCATGTTTTGGTAGTAATAAGTACTTATTATGCCAAGAACACGGAGAACTCTTAATAGAATTAACTCAAAAGTTACCTTATTTTCCGCCTCATTTTTAATTTTCGTGTTTGTACTTTGCACTCCTTTTTTGGTTGATACTACCGTTGATTCCTCTTTCTCATCCAAAACTTATATCATCTGTCAATTCTTCTGTTTCCTTCTTTGGTGTATTTGTTGGCTTTTGTTCCAGCTCTTCTAATTTTTCATCGCATAAGTCAGAAAATCGTCGCGATATTTCTCCTCTGCAGCCCTTGGT